TATTTTTCCACATTTACGACACCCGGAAGATTTGCATTCCTTAGTGAAATGACCACTACGCAGACAATTTATGCAAAGTCGCAAGCGTTTTGCTTCATTATGTCTTAACGACGTTTCTAGTTTGAGAAAATCAGGACAAGTGTAAATTAGATGTTTTTGTTTGCATAAAGAACAGTTGGAAGAATTATTCGTTGACAAGAAATTCTTGGATTTGGGATTGCCTGTAGATGAAAATTTGGGACGAGATTTTCCTTCTTGATGATTAATAGATTCTAAGACTCTACATTTACCTTTTAGAAATTTGGTTAAGCTACTCAAAGTGGGTAATGTGTTCTTGTCGTCTTTAATTGACAGTTCCCATTCTTTGTGTGTGGCATTGTCTAGTTTTGTGGTAATTAAATATATGATAAGGGCATCCCAAGATGTTGTGTCCAAGTTTAAGGACTCAAGAGAGCGTAAATGTCTTTGGAAACCATTAACTAAAATGCGTAAATCATGATGTGAATTTTTTGAAAATTTGGTAGGTTAAATAATTTTTTAATGTGATTATTGACAAGAAAAAATTTGTTTTCGAATCTGTCTTTTAGTAACTCCCACGCAGTTTCATATGTTGCCTCAGAAATGTCCAAGTTACGTATTGTTTCTGCGGCAATACCTCGTAAAGATAATCTTAGATAGTGGAATTTCTGAATATTGGAAAGTTCTGTATTGGTATGAATGATGGAATTAAATGTATCCCTAAAGAACAACCAATTTTCATAGTCACCCTCAAAGGAGGGCAAGTTAATAGCGGGTAACCTAATATTAATAGATCTTTGTGAAGTATTTTCGGACGAAATTGTCGAATTTGAAGCTTGAGCAGCCTGACTACAGGGTTTTGAAAGATTAGTGTCAATAAAGTCTCGCACAGCGCTAGTAATATGGAAAAAAAGCGTTTCGAAAGACGTCCTTTCAATACCATGGATAGTATCTGCGTTGGCAGTGTAGTCCTCATCAGAGGCCTCAATAAGTGATTGAGCGTTGTCAAAATCGTCAAAAAGTTTCTCAATTCTATCAAGTCTAAGTTGTAAATCCCTAAAGTTAATTTGTTCTAAAGGTTTGTTTTTGATAGAATTAAAATACGTACTAAAACGGGTTACAGAACCTTTGATTGAAGAGCGTTTAGTTTTTGCTGTAGCGATGTCAGCCATAGTAACAATATAACTAAGATATTCACAAAAGTAAAAATGTATGTATGTATATGCAAAAAACAATTAAAATCAATTATGTAATGTGTGTAAAAATGTTTTGCGAATCAATGAAAAACGTTAAAGATAATATGTCAACTTGTAATAATTTATAAATATAAAATGAAAAAATTGAAATAAATTTAAGGACGCTACTATGTATTAATGTATAAATGAAAATATTAAAATATCTAAATGTGTTAAAGCATTAAAATACCTGCTTTTAAAAATAAATATTTCCACTGAATTAAATCAAATACAAATGTACCCTTTTAACGACCATAAAAGATAACGTAAGTAAGGAAATTATTTATGCACTAACCTTTGACGACAGATTATAATACCTGCTTCTTCAGATGATAAACTGTGTGAACGGGACGATGCAAATTCGTCGAAAATGAATACAGCTTACATGGAATGTACAAATAATCTTGATCACTGGGCTAGTCTAATCCGTCTCGAACTGGACCAATTTATGTGTAGGATGTAGGTTAAATCTTATTAGAATTTCACGTAATAATAGAAAAACAAAATAAATCACTCAAACTAAACTATATTGAAGTCAAAAGGCACATGTAAAATATGTTGTAAACAATAAATTTAAAAATAGCGTCCTTGGCGTAAGGATGTTCTCTGTTGAGACTCGGGTGTGGACTGTGTCTCTCTTGTCCTCGTCACTACCGGCATCCCCTCTCGAGGGGTGGAAAATGAACGTCGGGTTGTACTTAAGTGTAGTATACGGGGTTGCTCGAAAGTTTTAACATATCTTCCTTTACCCACCTTGGCGTTAAAGTCGCCCATTATTATGTTTATGTCCTCTTTCTTTGTTAGTCTTATTGCTTTTTTCCAGATCTTTATAGAACTTAGTTATTTCTTCTTCTGACTTATCTGCTGTTGGTGCATATGCTTGTGTCACATTTATGTTTACTGGTTTGCCTGTCATTTTGATCAACATGACTCGTTCGGAAATTGGAACAAAATCTGTCACCGATTTACTGGTCTTCCTGTCAAGAGCAATAGCCACTCCATGTCGGTGATGTCTATCTGTTGGGTCACTACACGAGTAATACATAGTAATCTTATCTTTCGTAAACTGTCCAGATCCAGATCGGACTTCACTGACTCCCATTATATTTATTTTCAGCCGATTCATTTCCTTTATAAGGTTGTGTAGTTTTCCTGGTTCGTAAAGACTATTAACATTCCATGTTGAAATTCGTTGGATATCATCTATTTGGCACCGGGAGATTCTTCGCACCCTCTGACCATCTAAGGCCTGCCCGGGACTGAGGACCATCTGAGTTTTGTTTTGTTCTGCCATAATGAGATATCCTGGGGAAAAGGTTGTGTTGTAGTATCCCGTTAATTTCAGTAACAAGCTTATTACAAGCTTGTAAAATTACTGCGCTCGCCGCTACGCGGCTCACGCGCAACTTTTTTCCTCGTATATAATAAGCTTCTTACAACTCTCATTATGTAATGTACTATTTCAATCATTCCTATACATAATATAAAATATTTGTATGAATTTTATAGCAATAACTATTTTTTTAATTGTAGGTCTCAGACACCGTAGCGACTCGTGTTGCTCAGTTTTTCCTAGCGACTAACGGAAGGTTAAATTGTGCAGGGCCTATTTCAAATTTGAATCGGCATTTTGCTGTGACCGATAGAATGTTGTTTTTCATTTTTCATAACTGATAAAATGATGTACTTGCCTATGTACCAAGCTTACATTTCTTTTAATGTTTGTAACATATTCTTATTATTTCTTAATCTTGTTATATTGTTACCATTTTATCTGATATACATAATCTTACTTTGACTTTTGATTTTTAACCGTGTTTCTTGTAACATTTTACTAATTATTTATTCATATATTCATACTTGTTTCGTTTAATTCTGGTTTGTAACCATTTTCTTTTAATTTATGAACGTATTATTTTCGACCTTTGTACTAGTTTACCAATTATTGTAAAATTTTTGAATATTTGATCGTAGTCAACATTTTTACGAAGTAGGTAAGTCTAAAACCTTATAAAAATTTTTTTATCAACCATCAACTTCAAGTTTTTTTTTTCGAAGGAAACTAATTTTTCTTCACTTAAAAAACGTTTCTTGGTTTATTTCAGATGACCCTGAAGATGCTTTGAGAGCCAAAGTACTTAGACAAGATTTAATAAATACTTTGCTCGATATCTGTCCTTTATTTGTGAAGTTCATAATATTAGTGACGAAAGTCATTCCAGTCGTAATTTTAATTACTTATTTATTACTATAAAGACAATCTAGTTTAGGTAAAAATTAACTCTTGCTCAAATTTTGTTTGACAATTTCTACTTGTTAAACACTTTATTTTTACCTTTATTAATCGAAAGAAAAGCATTAAACTCACCATCACTTTTCTAAATCCAAGGAAAAAGTTTAAAGTAGATTTAAAATAAAAAGCAGTATTAAGTGCTAAAATAACTCCAAAATACAAAAACTTTCGTTATGCGGAGGTGCTCTCCAATGGTGAGACGTAGACCTAAACGTTTTCTTCTTATGACGCAGCTATTATATTTATAACATTTTAAACACATTCATAAACAAAACTGATATTTTTACTTTAGATACTACTACTTGTTTATATACATGTCATCCATTGTGTGATGTCTGCATCATCCAACCTCAAAAGTCCACTGCTGAACATAAACCTCTTCCTCGTATTTGCAATGTCATCTATCTTTCACAGCTCTCATCCAGTTTTTATTTTTTCTTCTTAAATCGTTAGCCCATCGTATAGGTCGACCTATGCTTTTCTTGTCTTTCCTTAGTCTCCATTCCAATAACCTTTTTGTCCATCGCCCATCCGTCATTCTAACTATGTGTTCTACCCATCTCCATTTTAGTCTGGCTATCCTTTCGATGGCTTCATTGGTTATTCTTCTGAACTCTTTGTTTTTTATTTTGTCTCGCAGAGTTCGCATTGGTTCGGAGGACGCATTGATCAAATACTTTTCTCTTGAGACAGGTGGGCAGCTCACTTTTAAAAGTTTTTCTTAGTTTTTCATATGCTGCCCACCCAAAACCGATTCGTCATTTCAGTTCATGGGTCTGATTATTCCTGATAATCATAATTTCATGTCCTAGGTCCTTGTCTTTGTCATTATTTTTGTTTTCTAGATGTTTACATTTAAATATTCACTTTCTGTAGCCACAACGAGTTCCTGTACCATCTCTCTTGCCATTCCTTAGTCTATCTATCCAAGTCCCCAGCTATTATGACTATATCATCGGCTAAACGTAAGTTGTTTAGAAATTCTCCATCTATTTTTATTCCCTTTGTCAGCCAATCCAAATTCTTAAAAGCTTCTGTTCGTTTTTGTCTGTAGGTATATATTGTATAATAATTTTGTATACCCATAGTATAGCCTCCATTCTTTAAGCGACTGTAGTATTTCGCTAAGGTCAAATGTGTCAAAGGCTTTGCGGAAATCGACAAATATTAGTACTAGAGGTTTATTGTATTCCACTATTTTCTCTATATGATGTAACATTTACTTATTATGTTATTTACATGCTAGTATTATAAAACAATTATTATACTTTTTCTGCTTGAGTTTTAGTTTTCCTGATAAAAATACTTGGTCCAATGTTCTAGGATAAATTTAATGGTAAGTATGGTAGACGTTTACACAAATAAATATTATAGGAAATGGTTTAAAATAATGCATTAATAGGACCTTTTTCCTGTCGTATTCATACATTTTGTCAAGATTATATTCAACTCACCCTATAATACAGTGTGCCGCTGTTAAAACAGTGTTATCATTTATAAGAGATCCACCGCAGAAATGACCTTGAGAATCTTGAAGTGAAACTATCCATGGATGTTTCTCGATAGATGTCTCCCTTCCACCAAAAATTCGAAAATGTCTTCCTAAAAAGACAAGTACATTAGTAGAAGGCAGGGGGGAGTTTGGGGTTAAACCCCCCCACCCATGACCCTATTCCCACACTGTTATTCATAAATTTTAAGGACTTAAAATGGAATCATAAAAAAATTTCGGTGCACAACCAAACCCCCCCCTGATTCTGGATATTTTTATTTCTAGGCTTATTCTGTAAGTTTATCTATTCGTAGTTAAAAATGTTTTTTGTGGAATATTTTGCAGTTGGTGATATACATTCACCACAAAACTTACAGCAGAATGTGAGGCTGGTTCTTCAGCAATCATGAATATTGTTTGTATACGATTTTTTCTAATATGGAAGATCATGTTGATATTTAACATTCCATAATCGACTTTGTATTCTGTAGCACCTCGTCGGAAGCTCCAGCATTCTGACTTTTACTAAAGCCTTTTCAATAGTTTCGTTACTGTAATGTTTGTATATTTTAGCCCTTATTCAGACCAATGACGCCTAATGTGTATAAACAATTAGTACCCAATATTAAATCTTAGAATAACGTGAATAATAATTTTCGAATTACCTCGTTTATTATTAACTTTACGAGATGAATGTACACAAATTAGATTTTATAGAGCCAATAGACTCAGATGGGCAGGATATGTGACACGTAGTAACGACAATCGCCTTATAAACAATGTGTTCTGGGAAAGGCCAGATGGAAGAAGGTCTGTAGGGAGGCCTAGAAAAAGGTGGAAAGATGCAGTCAAAATAGATCTAGAGAAAATGGGAATGCGACAATGGGAATTACTAGCACAGGACCGACAAACATGGAATTCAATAGTAAACGCGGCAAAGACTCACGAAGAGTTGTAGCGCCATTTATGATGATGATGATGAGATTTTATACAATTTTAATTGCTGAAATCAATATTTAAGGTCCTAAGCCTAACGAATCCTAGACGGTGACCTCATCAACCCCAAGCCATAAACAGGAACGAACCTACGACTTGAAATATTGATTTTAGCCAAAAAAATTAAGGAGATCAAAATTGTACAAAATATAATACTCTTCATTTTTGCTTGTGTACATTCATGACGTAAAGATAATATTAAACGAGATAATTCGATAATTATGCTCTTACCTTTCCACTATCTCTTTCCTCTACTTGAAAAATATCGATCACATGAAAAAAATTGTAAAAGAAAATTGTAGGAAATTGTATTTTTAACCATTTTAGTACCTAGCATTTTTTTCGAGAAGTGGAAAATGGCGGAGATATTGAACTGATGCTCAATCAAAATGATGGCTGACGCAACGGCGGAATTCAGTCGCGATTTTAAATTTACACTACTATTGCCTCTTCCTAAAGTTTAGAATAATAAAATTTGGGGCAATTTGCTATGCAAAGTCAAATGCTATTCCGACTGGATTAATTGTATGAAGTTCAACATTGCAATAAGAGAGGCAGTACTTTATGGGAAAAAATCGGGTGGGTAGATAAAAGAGAAAGTAACAATTAGTAATTAAGTGAGCTGAATGTATGGTAATACTAAACCAAAGAATATAGAGCGTCTATATTCTTTGACTAAACTTTCGACGTACGTCAAAACAACCAGGAAAGTATGGGTAGATTACGCGGAAAGTACACAACCAGTACCTAGGAACCCAGCAGGCAGAATCCTGCCTGCTGCCTGCAGAACCATTGAAAATCAGAATATAGCAAAATATTGATCTGCTTGGAGGCAAAAAGTTGATTAAATTTCATTGGCAGTGAGTCATAGAGTACGTAGGTAAGTCAGTTTATTAAAATTTGTTTTAAAATTTGCCGCCATAGTTAAAACTCTAGGAACACTTTTTTAAACACACAGTTAACAATATGATATTTCTGAAGTCAACTCTTTTTTATGATGACTGATGAACAATGAAAAATTCGTTCACAATGTCCTATACAACTACTTAATACAAAGTTCATAGTTTAAAATTCAGTTTAAATATACAATTCAAAAATTTGTTGCTCACCTGCATAAATAGGGACGTTTGTAAACAATAAGACATAAAATAATATCATAACATTCCGGTTAAAAATCAACATGATAAAATTTTAAAATATATCGTTTTGCCTATATTTTATATTCACAAACATAAAAATAAATGTAAATGGCCACAATTGATCTTTATATAGCAACAAAACTGCACAATTTTATGTTTTTAAAACCATGCGGATTGGTTACGAATTCGTGATATTTTTTGGACAAATTACACACGAAAAAATAATTAAGAAACTAAAACTCTAACGATAGATAAAAAGTATTATTACTAAAGTTTTTATGGGTGTCGTTCATTTTCATGATTTCAGTAAGCTTACCATAAAGATAATACGAAACAGACACATAAAACATCCATAAAAACATTACAGAACTGAATGGTACATAGCTACATTCAACATACGCACACTAAGTTCCGAATAAAAGCTACTAGAATAAAAAAAAAACGTTAAAAAAATAAACTCGACAATGATAGACCTGGCAGAAGTACGACGAAAAGGAGAGCAATGTATCGAACTAAAAAGTAGTCACCAACTATTCTACAAAGGAAATGAAAATCAAGCAGTAGGCGGCGTAGGCTTACTTACAGTAGGTTAATAAAAAAGTGACATCCAGGGTCGGATGTCACTTTTTAACAACGGGTATTAACAATAGACATCGAGATTAACCAACGTTAAACATGTAAAATTATTTAGACCTATGCTCTGACATCAGATCATTAAGATGATGAATTAGAGCAATTCAGGTGTTTATTTTAGAAACAACATAAGTTCAAAATTTACGAAAACGCGATTGTGGCGTCATGATGTAAAAGACACAAAAGACACTGAACTCTGTCACCCCAAAGATTCGTTTCTCCCAAAAACATCACATATTCTCTATGTGTGGCACTAAAATACCGGTATTTCTGTAAAAACGACATATTATGTCCTATTCGTTTCTTTTAAAAACTACATAGGTCCATGTACTAATGTTTTTAAAAGAAACTACGCTGAGAGAACAGTCCGCTGATAAGTACCGAACGACTTCGTCACGCATTGCCGGCCGGTTCTCATTGTCATCGGTCTGTTCTCCCGGTGTAGACAGGCAGAAACTTGTCAAATTTAGTAGCGTTGTTGTCTTATTATGGAACGGTTGTTTTGTTACTCTCGTGTTATATTTTAAGCAGTTTCTTCAGTTTTGCACTTTAAGTTATGAATATGGAGAATGCAGTAGCAAGTGGTAGTGGAGTCATCGAGCAAAAAGACAAAAGAGGGAATCTAATCCTTATGAAAAGGAGACCAAAAAAGTGGCCTCTGATGGCGGACATATCCGGAAATGCGAATGCGCCAAATTTAAATTTTCCGACCCTTATTAACAGTAGCTATATAATATTTTCCAGAATATGTCTTAGACGAGAAAGTTTTATTTAATTATTAACGGTAATAGTCTAAAATGCGACACAATTGTTGAAAAACTTCAATATAAATAGGATTTCATGTGACATTTGGGACAAACAATAACATAAATAACATAACCCAACTAAATTTGATGTCAAACAAAGAGAGAGACTCTCTTTCCTTGTTTAATGTGGCCTCTAAAGATCTCACTTCCTGTCTAACAATATTTTTGCCGCCACTACCTTTACATTTCCTCTTTTGTCTTTTTGCTCGATGAGTGGAGTACAGCAGGCGCTTGAGCGTGAAGTTAAAAAAACACCGAAGCTCAGTTTAGTAAAAATAGCCAAAGTAAAAGGCGAGGAGCATATTAATCATAAAGGAAGACTAGTAGAAAACCGCACTCTTGGAAGAAACTGCAGGTAAATAATAGCTTTAACGTAAATATTGAATATTTTTCTTACAATATATTTTTTATTATAGATGTAAACGGCTTAAGTGTGATGAACATATTAGTAGGGAAATAAAAGTGGTTTTATTCCAACAGTTTTATAATATGAACAATAAAAATGAGCAAGACTTTCATTTGTCTGGGCTAATAACTATTAAACCAGTAAATAGATGCCGCCCGAGAAATAGAAATGTGGGTACTGAAAAACCACATGCTGCAGGATATGCATTTAAAATAAGATATGAAGGAAAGGAAATAGAAGTCACACGAGGTATGGCGCCAAGGGATTTAAGAGGAAAAGATAAGAAAAGGTCAACTGATTATTAAGATACCGTAATTCATTTAATAAAGGAACACATTAAGTCTTTTAAAACCAAGGCAATCCCATTACTCACGATGCAAAAACCCACTTAGTTTTCACCTGCCGGAAGGTTTAACCATAAAATACATGCATTCCATGTTTCGATCTGAATACCTGATCAATATCCCTTATAAAATGTACTGGAAAATATTCACATCCAACTTTAATATAAAGATTGGCTTCTCACGATCCGATACATGTGCTCAGTGTGATTCTTTCCAACAAAAACTTATTTCCGAAGGAATCAACGATGCAGAAAAAGTCCAAATAACAATGAAAAAAGAGATTCATCAAAGAAAGGCTGATGCATTTTTTACAAGGAAAAGAAGATACAAGACACAGGCTATGGCTGGAGAAATCGATTGTATTAGCTTTGATTTTATGCAGAATCTACCTCTTCCTTATATTCCATCAAATGCAGTTTTTTATTCACGTCAGTTGTGGTACCACGTATTCCGTATAATCTTGGTACAGATGTCGCATTTATTTACACCTACACTGAAGGACAAGCGAAAAAAGGTGCCAACGAGGTGTGTGCCATGTTGTTACATTTTATTATCAATAATAACTTTACGACCAGGAATCTTGTACTAATAAGTGATGGATTTCCTGGGAAAACAAGAATTATGTTATGTTGCACTTTTTATTTATACTTGTCCATGTACTTAAACTTTTTAACACAATTAAGTACCTGTTTCCGGTTCGGGGCCATTCCTATCTCCCAAACGACCAGGATTTTGCACTGATCGAAAAAAAAGAAACGCCATTAGAAAAGAGTAGAGCCACCTGAAGAGTGGGACAAAGTTATATTGTCAGCACGAAAGCCTCCAAATTTTCCTTAGTCAAAATGTACCCCTCAAAGTTTTTTAACATAAAGACACCGATCGATATTTTCTGAAAACAGCTAAACCGCCAATTTCTCTAAAACTAGTGCGCATGTTCGAAATTACTGCAGATCGATGCTGCAGAGACTGCTGTAGTAAAGTTTAAGGATACCTACAATGGTCCATGGTGATCCTCTATTGTCAGAAGTAAAGTAGCAACAACTAGTTTAATAAAACTCACACCAAGTTATTTGCAAACTGTGCCAATTCCATGTGCTAAACTGAAAAAATTTAAGAGATATCTTACCGTATTTAGGAAATGCAAAAAATCAAAGCTTTTATGAAGGCATTTTTACACGACAAAATCTGCATAGCAATGATGCCATAGAAATCGATTAAGATAACAACTATAGTGGTTGTGTTGAATCCTAATTATTTTTTGTAACTTAAAATTCAATAAACACTTAAATTTATATTACTTTTATTTTATTTTTTCTTTCTTTTAAAAACAACCTAAGTCCAAGATTTTTGTTTTTTTTTATTAATATCATTAGATTTTGTCTAAAAAGTAATAGTCAGAAAACCTTTATTTAACTAATTTTCGTCACTGTACAATTTAAAAGTTTTTCGAAATATGGTAATAAACTCGAGAGAGCGTTTTTTTTCATTTTCTACAAAATAAAAATTTTGGACTTCTAAAATAAACGCCTCAATTCTATCACGAAACTAATGAAGCAATGATGAAAGACAATGCAAGGTATATTATCTTAATGAGTGATTTCAATGCAAAAATAGGGAAAGAAAAAAACCAGAATGAAATTTTAATGGGGCCCTATGGATTAGGAGAAAAAAATAATAGAGAAGAAATACTAGTAATCTATGCAAAACAAAACAACTTATAGCAAAAAAGCTCCAGGTGAAGACGGAATAGTATTCTCTATCTGCTTCATCTTCATCGCTCTCTTTTAGCTTTCGCCTAATACTTTTTGCTTTCTGCAAATCTATTGCCCCTATATTTTTTTGTTTTTTATTCGGCCTTTCTTCCAGCTCAAGTTTCTCTGGAGTGTCAGTAGCTATCATGCTTTTTCCCTTTCTTCGGCTTTTGGATGTTTCTTTTCTAGATTCAGCCTTAGGATATCTACGAATCTCTTCCTTGTAAACAGGATCGCGAGGGGAGTTTGATTTACTCATTGGCAACTGACGCCTATCAGTGACAGAGCATGGCAAAAAGTCGATGTCTGTGAATATTTTCCTGTCGAATGGATATATTCCACATTTTTTAAAGACTGAGGTAATAGTTACTGGAGTTATTGCCTTCTGGTACGCTTCGCCCACACAACCTGCAACTTCATAAATAGTAACTGATTTTCCAGGATGATGCATTAGCGAGCTATCTATGACAGCATTATAAGCCAAATTATAGGGTTGAAAATACTAACATCCAAAGGCTGTAGCTTATTGGTTGAATGTGGTGAAAAAGTAATAATGGTAACGCCATTTTTCTTATTAATATTTATAACCTGGATAGAAAGATGACTCTCGTGATTGTCATAAAGCAAAAGAGTTGTATTTTGCTTTGAACTGGAGGTTTGTAGAATGAAGTGTTCCCTTACTTTAAAAAATAGCTAAGAATTCATCCACCCGGATGAAGATGCAAATCCTAAAGTATCAGGTGGAGCACCAGCAATAATGTGCTCCTTAAAATGAACGCGTGGAAAAACGCGTAAATATTAATAGTAAACAAACTAAATAGTAAATAAAATAGAACTTTGCGAATTAAAGTTATATATTTACAAAAATACATTTTTGTAAATATATACAGGAGCGATTAATTACAGGGACCCGATCCGTCAACTGCGCATGTGCAATCTTTTGAAATGACATCAAAAGTGACAACGAGGGACAATCTCCAACCTAAAAAATCTGAGCAAGTTTATAAAAACGATTAGGAATAAAAATAGGAAATTTTACAATATTTCTTTCTACAGGTAGGTACATAGTTGTTACATTCATAACTAAAATATAGAGAATAAATAACTTGTACTCTGAGTAATAAGAAAGAACATCACATTAACCTAATGTATATTGACG